GCTGCTACAAGCAGTAGCCTAACTTCTCCTTTTGTCCCAGAGGTGCTTTCCCAAAAGGCAGCTGGACTCTTCCTTGGTTCTCTTCCTTGAACATGTTTCGCTTCCCCTCCAAGAAGCTTCTTCAGTTCAAGAAGTTCATCCAAGAAGTTCTCCATCCAGGAACTGAAGAAGTTTCTTGGATGAGAAGCGAAACATTTTCAACGGGGGGAAAAAACCCAAGAAGGTCCAGTTGTCTTTTTGGAAAAGCATCTTTTGGGACAACCTTGACCTGAATGATTGAGAAGCTCCATAGACATTCAACCTGTGAGTGGTGCAGTGGCCTACAGGCGGAGCTCTCGCCCCACAATCAGGAGACTGTGAGTTCGATCCTAGGTAGAGGCAGATATTTCTCTCTCTGGGCACGATGAGAATTTTATCAGCTGAATAAAACTCCACACTGGTGACAGGAAGGGCATCCGGTCAGTAAAACACTCAGCTCCATTCAGTTGCCCAGACTCCAGCCCGCAAGGGATTATGGGTTGACTAAAAGAGGATAGGTATTCAACCTGTCTTTTTCTCCCAGCAGGGCCGTGATATCAATATCTTTGGCCTGCGCAGTGATGATTAAGGAGAGCTGCTGCTCCACAGCCAGTCGCTGGACTCTTTCGCGGTCCGTCAAAGCAAACGCTTTCTCTACTTCTTCCCGGGCGGTTCGAAGGTCCTGTACAAAGGGGGGGGAAAAAGAGAGACATTGAAACCAAGGGACTGTCATGCCCCTGTCGAAGTCTGAATCTGAGGAAGACGAACAGCTGACAGGGAGCGGGAAAGTGGCTTCATTGGCTGCGGAGGAAACTGGGGGAAGGGCAAAGTCTGGCTGGGCAGAGCAGGGGAGAGGTAGAACAAGGGAGAGGGAGTTCAGAGGAAGACTCAGGCCCACTCCTCTTCATTCTAGGGCACGCAGGGTGGAACAGAGGAGAGAGCAATGTGGGTTGCCTGGCTTACAGGGGAGGAAAGGGCCCTGATTCCCTTCATTAGGCACACCTGGGATTAAGAGTTTAAAAGAGATGCAAGCTGAGTGTGGCATCTGTTGGGAACAAACGTGAGTTTATCTTGTGTTGACTTTGGTTATCTGCGTTCCTGGCATCCTCCCAACCGGGTTGAGTTACTGCCATTCCTTCACATCTGGAATTCCTTCTCCTGCCCTGCCAGACTCATTACCTCATTTTGCCTTTGGACTTATAGTTACAGTTTTTGTTGACCACGTTTTGAACTTGATTCTCTGCAGCACATTCTCTGTATTCTAATTCTATTGTATTCTAATTCTATTCTATTCCATTCCCTTATTCTATTCTATTCTATTCTATTCTATTCTATTCTATTCTATTCTA